GCGGCTTTGCTTAGAAATAGAGATTCCTTAAACTGAGTATGCTGTTTCGGAGGGTTTGGATCAGGGGGCGTGTGTTTCCGGAGGTGTCCAGTGAAGCAGGTCTGACTGGCTGACCATGTCACCCAAAAGCCAAACACTGAACCCAACGGCAGACTGAACACTTCCCTCTTCCCAACGAGTCGAGAGCCTGGTTGCCGGAAATACCTACGCCCCACAAGCTTCGGAATGCCGGGTTTGCCGACGCCTACGCGACACCGCCAAACCTACGCCCTGGGGTCACGGAGTTGCCGTTAGAAATCAAGCTACAGTACTGGTAAATGAAGCCTTATATATGCAAAGCCCTGAAGCCTAAGCTAAACCCCCAAAAAACTCTACACTCTGAGCCCCAAAATGTCTACACCTCAAGTCTCCTTAAATCCTTACTCACACCCTAGAGAACAGCCGATCTCCCTCGGCTTGTCCGGGGGCCCAGCCCCATCGGAGTAGATCCGATGAAAGCAAGGGGGTCTCGATTGGGGGGAGGCCATCCTCAGTGCACATCTTGGCGTTTCGGTCTTTCGGCGTTCGCTGATATTCTGGCCGGGATGATTAGACGAGTGTTTGGGGATCTGTTTTTGTATACATATGCGAGAAGGAACCACAAGGATTAATCTTGGTAACTAGTCAGGCCCCTACAGTATTCACTTCCTTTGCTGGGGTTCAGGGTCTTCCGAGTTTCCCTGGCCGCGAAGGGACTTAAGCAGGACTATTCAGGATTAGTGTACAGGGGTTAGGGGTTTAAGGGTTGAAGAGTTTAGGGGCATGCGAGGCCGAATGACCATGGGCTGGGTTGAGGAAACGGCCTGCACGATAGTCGCCGCCTCTAAGTGTCTGGTGATCTATATTGTCTAGGTTCGCTACCCCTAAGCCCGAAACAGGCTCCCCAACCCAAGCCCGATAAACCCCAAACCTGAACCCTTTTCAGCATGGGCTTGGATTGTGTGCCAGTGAACACTCCTCAACAGCAGGGCAAACCTGAACCCTTTTGGCAGCAGGCCTCGTTGTCCAGCAGCCCGGTTACAGCAACAGCCCTCTCACAAACCCCAAACCCTAAACCCTAGGAGTCACGATGTTTTCTTCGAGTGCGTCATGGCCACTCCAAACGCTTTCGACAGGACTCCCAAGTTGCATCTGGGATTTCGAAGGGTCGCAAAGCTTCAACCATCTCAAACCGGCTTCTTAAGACCCCAAGCGTCGAGCTCAACTCACCAGTCTGTTTTTCTGCACGGCGTGTGGCCGTTGAGAGTTTAAGCTGCGAAACCAGACATCCCTCAAGGCATCTTCCGACATCGGGTGTAGGCAGATCAGATTTCTGGTGAGACATAGGGTGCCTGGCTTATGGGCAAACTGCTTTTTGAGTGCGATGGATAGGTTGCTTTGCAACGGTGATATTATTTGCGCAAGGGAGGTGGAGGGCGCTGATTGGTGGCGGTGGTGGTGGTAGTGGTGGTGGTGGTGGTGGTGGTGGTGACCATGCTCACGTCCATGATGGTGATGATGATAACGATGTTGCTGCTGATGTTGTTGGCGATGCTACTGGGTACAAAGCAGTGATGACAAGAGACACTAGTAGTGTCGGAGCCGTGAGGTCCACTTGAAAGCAACAAGCTTGTGTTAAATGAGCCTGAATAGAATTGCAATGAGAAAGAAGACAGCATCGCACCGTCGGGTCTCTTGGGAAAGTCTGGTGTTGGCAACATGGGCAACAAAACTTGGCAAAGGATATCGCCACCCACCTGTGAGGGAAACGATCCTGAATGCTGGCACAATGCTCAGTGTCGGCCTCGGCAAACGTATAAGCCTTGCCTATCTGCAGGCCCATGCCTTTGAACCCAAACTCACAATACAGCTTTCCGGCTCTAGCCTAGGCTAAAAACTCGTCACCAAACACTGAGGCTAGACAGCGAGCACTGCGTGAGGTCCCTGCGAAATATTCGACTGGGCGGTTGGGCTATTGAAGTTGAGAAAATCGGTGACCATCGTAACGGCTGACCCGCCCAGCGCCAGGTGCCGAGAAAAAGCCAAGATTGTGTATGCAAACTCGAATAATAACCAAATGGGGTTTCCGAAAATTGGGGACCGTAATATGATACCCGAAATAGTAAGATCCTTACTATATGGACCCCAAAATCCCAAACGAGAAAGAAGACTGGATCATGTCTCGGGCATCTGAGAAGGGATACACACGGGCAGACGCCGACAAAAGTCTGAAGAAAAACGCCCATGTTGGAGAGGGCAAGCCAGGTCTTGCGAAAGCAATGCCTGCTGTCAGCCTCGGCAATAGTAAGGCCCAGCCTATCTGCAGCCCCATGAGATTGAAGAAAAACTTGTACCGCCGCGTTCCTGCTCAAGGATAGACAGGAAACTCAAACATTGAGGCTGAACAGCGAGCACTGCAGGGCCCGCAAAGCTACCGACACAGCGGCGGCTTTGCATAGTTTTCAATCGTTGGACCGAGCTTCACAAGAGCAGAGAAGACTGAGAAGGTCATCATGTCACAAGAGGCCACTAATGCGAGCCAGCGCTGAACAAGCCTGGTTGGGACAAGACCCGCCATACTTCATATCCCAGTTCTGACCACGACATGATGCCAAGAGGAAACTTACCTCGACGCAGTGTGCATGAGCTGGCACTGTCCAGCTACAGCGGACACAGCTACACTTCACACGAACAAAGACATCTTCGGTTCTGCGAACTGCCAGCTCCCTCCATCTTGAACGGCCTGAAGGAATCTGTTGAAGATCTGTGCCGAAGAACGAGCCTCGATGGAGGAGCTAAGGCAGCCAAGGATCTCGCATGCACATAGAAAACTGCTGCACTCTGAAGAGCCGTGGCCATTGAGTTGGGTCTAGTCGTCACCTTCCCCTTCTTGCTGGAGGTGTGCCGGCTCCTACATCGTACCCCAGGTCTGAGCCCTAAACCCCCAAAAGCCCTACATAATCCTTGAACCGTCATGCCGGAAACCCGAAACCTTCATCCGCTGAGCCATTACTACAGGTCCTTGAACCCTGTGAAGCCAAAAACCTCAATCCCCCTAAAGATTTGGAGGTCCGAACTTTGCATAAAGGGTTTTGGTTTCGACTCCTCTAGACTTCACAAGCTTTCTTGAAATGGGGCGTTCATCGGGCAGAGGTCCTACCTGGACCCCAAAAGTAGGTAGAATAATAGCCGTTTATGGGTATTGGGCCACTATTTTACCTCCTTTGCGGGGGTTTGGTATACACCCTAGAAGCGGCTCAACAGCACTGGCAGCAATCTAGCAACCCACAACATTTTGGAAGGAGGATGAGCTGCACCAGGCTCCTGTTAATCAACGGTTTAGGGGCTGGGGTTAGGTTCTACGGGTTCAGGGTTGAGGGCCTGTAGGGGTTTCCGTGAACAAAACTGCAAAGATTCCATTCCCACTTCGTCTCAGATTTTCACACTCCTGCGTTTCCCTCAGTATCGGTAGCAAAGCCATTGCGAGCATCACCTGCCGCACCCTTCTCATGATTGAGGCTTGGTGGGCTTAGCCTCACTACCAAGATGAAAACACTTGCAGAAGCTCAAGCAGGCGCAAGAACAAAACCCATGAACATGAACACGACCGACACGATCACTCCAAATACGCCCTCTTCTGGGAGCACGATGTCGGGAGGCAGAACTGCACGAAGCTGTAGGAATGGGAGTCACGCCCACAACCACACGCAGAACGGCAGGAGCAGGGCCCCGACGAGTTGGGCACCGCCAAGTTTTCAAGCTTCGCATGCGACAAGTGTTTGAAAGCACAGGGCTTGCTGGAACTCCACCAAGAACACCCTCAAGCACGGAAACTCGGACCGTCAACTGATCTGTCGGGGTCTGGTAACGAAAACCGACGTGGGCCACTGGCCCCAACTGCCTCACTATGCCTCTAATATCCTCTCATGTAGTGTGAGCTAGCCTCGGGGTCACCAACTTGCTGGGATTGGAGGCTGGACCAGAGTTTGGCTGGAGGATGCGTGGCTGGGAAACAGCAAGTAGCGATTGCAAGTAGGGGCAAAATGCACATCTCGCTTAAGTTCCCGGCAAAATTTTCCGCTGGACAAGCGTGTGCAGCAAGTGGAGCGTAGTAGCGTAGAACGTAAGTGGATGCAACGGGCCCTCGCAATGAACAGCACTTAAACTTGACACGGGGTCTACCGCCTCAACTTCGTTAGAGTCCTAGACTTAGATGTGGCGAGCAGGATACCAACTTTGACGTCATGCCAGCTGTCGGCCAAGCCAGAAGCCAGGTTGTCAGGACTCGTTTATTTTAATAAGCTGTATTCGGAGCAGGGCAGCATGCAAGCGTCTGGCTTGCGTGGTTGAAAAACGTCTTGCTGAGAGCCCAAAGGCACGGAGGTAATCCCCGCGATCAGGCACTCCATGGTTCTGATCGATCCTTGTCACACGGATTGCACCACCGACAAGCAGGCCCGAACAGCACTGTTGACTGCGGGAATATTGTCTGCGAAAGTATCCTGAAGTGCGATATTTGGTCTACAAAAAGTTATTTCTTTTGCACGACCAGGGTGCGCGCTTCAAAAATGCTGGCGGTGCCTGGGGTTCAGAACTCTCGAAGAACAAATAGACTGTCGATTCTGCGGCAGACTTGCCGGTATTCCACTAGCTGCAGTGCTCCGCCTGAATCTTCGATTGCGGAAGCAACTGCATCCTGCAGGAAGGCTGCAGGAAGGTCCGCTTCTGGACTTCGCGCCACCACGAAAGGAAACGTTAATCGACTATCCTTTGACCCCTCGACATCCCTTTGCTACATGGCCACTTCATTGAGAGTCACGCAGTGGGCTCGTCCGGTATTGCCTTTCGCGAACCCGCACGATGAAATAGATGAAGAGGAGAACCGAGAGATGCAGCATGTCTAGTCGGACAGTCCCCTCGCTCTGCAGGAGACTGCCCGAAAAATCTGAACCTCTTAAACAGCAAAAGGTCTGCAAAAATTTCTAGGCACGGGGGCTTGAAATGGCTCTCAGGTCACGGAAGCTCATGGTGTTCCACCGTCCGGACAGGATCTCGAGAACCTTCCAAGTCAACCCATCTTGAGTGAGTTTTGAGATTAGACGGCTTCAGTGGAGAAGAGTTTGGGAAGCAAGAGTTTCGTGGGCCTCGGGATCAGAGACGTTGCGTGGTTACGGCCGATTTCGAGTCATATGGAGCATAGGAGTCCCTGGAGTAGTTGGAGCCTGGGATAAAAGTTACGGCCACTCCCGAAAACTGCTTAAAACTTCAGCTTTGCCTTACAGTAGAAGTCCCCGACCCAAGACGAACCATCCAGCAGACTTCCGGGTTCAAGGTGCTGGATCGAAATCTTCGGGGGATATTTGGGCCCTAGGCACTTGGGGCTTTCAGTTCGAGCGGGAACCCTTCAAAGTCGAGGAACTGCAGCGGGGTTACTATGCTCCTGACAGCTTGATTTTCGTCTTGCAATGTTACGACTGCCGCAACGCAGATGTGTCGAGCTTGCCGAGCACGCACGCACGCACGCACGCACACACACACACGCACGCACGCACACACACACACACACACACACACACACACACACACACACACACACACACACACACACACACACACACACACACACACACACACACACACACACACACACACACACACACACACACACACACACGCGCGCGCACAGAAATTTCGGCTCGCGATTCGCTGCTCTTGTCGCAACTTAATCGAGAAGTGCAGACGCCGCTTAAGTTGTTGCACTACATGTATGCACACGGATGTGTAATCGCGACATGTACGTGTACACACATGCATACAGACATAAATACATACATACCTACATGCATACCTGCATGAATGCATACATACATACGCACATGCAAATACACTGCATTACATGTAGAAAACCACATTGTGCATGGAGGTGTGCATGTAAAGCTGTGCACTATATCGAGTGGATTGCATTACGTTGTTCTCTATTGTAGATTGGGCCAAGGTCTTCTTTTACTATACGATGTTGTGCTGTAGCACAATGTTTTAACTTGATCAGTGTGCTTGTTCATTTTGTGAAGTTCTACTATGTTCTGTTATATCACAGTGTATTGTGACGTGCGCCACGTCATAACATATTTTGTTGTTATAGTATACCGTACTATACAGCCTAAAGTTCCATCTCATTGCATGACATACTACGACAATGAAGTGTATCTCAGTACGGCACCATAAAAAAGACAAAAGACAATGCACACCGGAAAATATGTAAAATAAATACGGTAACATAGTATATTGAAGACACATTAACAAGATATTGCTTGCAAACATGATGACAGCATGCCTGTGGTCATATGGCACAGTATCTGTCAATGTAGTGTGATATGTGATCATATTAAGGAACAAAGGCGTAATGCAAGCTGTCACAGATGACACATGAACATGCAGGATAAGATGTAGTTCAATAGACCACGACAACCTTAGCAATATAAGATAAACACGATAAGAACATAAATGCAGCAATATGTCTACACATATAGACGTATAATATTTATAGTGGGCGACAATAACATAACATAGCCTTACATAACATAGCATTAAACCGGATAGCACAACTCATCATCGCATCTTTTTTAGTGAAACATGATTTAATACACTGCAGAATAGTACAACATAACCTACAAATTCAACATCATATATCAGAGCATAAGTCAGTCTACTGCAACGTCACAGAAAAACACAACATATGGCATATTCTGACAAGACCTATGCGCTACTATGAGAAAAACATCAAGTATGAAATGTGTCGAATGGCATGCATACGAATGTGACACTGACTTTACTCCACACCGACTGACGTCATCCAAGTGACCATGCGGTGAGAGCCAAACTGGTTCGCTGCATTTGCCATGTCCAACGCCGTACGCCCGGTCGAGGTCCTGCGTAGAAGGTTGCAATGTGACAGGCAACCCGAATCTCTGTGTGTTTTGGGCTTGGTGCTTTCGGGTGTTCAGTGGCGCCGTATTTCGTAGCCTATACCCAGCTGCCGGGTGCGGCAATGCAAGGAGACAAGAATGCTGATTGCAGGCCGAGCACAGCACGTACTCAAGGTCTGGTACAAGTGGGGATCGGTCCATCTATCCGGACACCGTCGGTTTGGGCGCTCACAACGCAACACACAGACACATATTCATGTTCGTTCGTCCATCGGCTGCTTGCGCTACTTGTAGCAAGAATGACGCCAACCTGTTGAAATGTCAGACACGATTTCGCGTAGCGGTGCAGCCGCAGCTGGACTGTGAGAAGAACTCGGTTTGAGTCGATCATGTTTGGACTGCACTGCAACACAAGCTGTGGGACCGCCGTGTGCCACGTGCGCACTTCGTGCTCACAGCAACCGAATCCTCTTAAGCTTTAATTACTCCGGATCGAAACAATCCCAGACATTGAAACTCTCAACCCAGATCTTAATCGCCCCTGCCTGAAGCTGTGAACCCCTAAAACCCTAAAGCCCCGAAGCCTCAAAACCTAAAAACTTGAAACCCTGAAGCCCTCAAAAGCCTTAAAACCGCAAAGCCCCAAAGCCCTATAACTAACGATCTTCCCAGCGTTAGTTGCCGCGCCGGGATCCTCTTGTCAGGATCCGCCCTTTCTCGAAGAAGCTCTTGTACCATGTGAGCATCTCCTTGATTTGGTTGATGTGACATTGATTTGAGTTGCGCGCAGGCTCTGCGGTTATCACCGAAGCTGCTCAGAACAAGCCAGAAGAAAGCTTGAAGTGAGGAGAGGTATCAGAGTATCGAACGAAAAAACATTGCGGTGGCTTCTGACTCGCAAATGCAGCCCGTCAGTTCAGGGTGTCTCTCAAGTCGCGAGAGCGCTTGCCACAAATCCTGCCCTGCGTAGCTTTACCCCCGAAACCTTACAGGCCGAAAATTGTTCGAAGCCTGTCCTGCATCTTTCCAAGGGTTCAAGTATCATTATTGTATATACTTATAGGGTATTTTGGGTGTCTATAGTATATACCATAATGATACTTGGACCCTTTGGGCTCAACACTACAACAGGAAGCCGGCCAGCATGCTGCTGGAGCACCTTTCTGGGCTGCCACGTGGAGTGGGTATACGGATTCCGAGAGCAACCTGAAGCCCAGGCGACAGCGTGGCGCGTTGACGTTGATGCCGGCGAAGTTGTTCCTGAAACCAAGGCTCTTGCGTGGCTGATTCGGGGATTCGTGTTCCTTGTGCCAGACTTCAGCCCTTCAAGCTTCGCTCTTGATCCGGAGTGACAGCCGTGAGGAGGGAAAGGCAAAAGACTGACAGACACTCATTGACGCATAGATACACGCCCGTGTATGACATGTGATGGATGAATGGAGGGATCGATGGATGGTTCTGAACGGACACATAGAGATGATGTGGCCATGTTCCATGTCAAACCTTGCAGGCCTCACTTGTCCAACACAGCCAGCAATCACAACGTGTAAGTGACTAAATATGTTCAAGCAGTGCTCGCAAAAACCTGTCTGGCGGATATCTCATGCCACACCCTACTGTGCCCCACGATGCCCTACGCTACGTTTGGCTTTGAGAACACTAAAGTGTCCTGCAGTACAGACTCCAATCTGTACTGCTTCATAGCTTTGCGGGACCTAGATGCATCCGAGCCCCTCCTATGATATCAGGCTGACCCCATGCGAGAAAATCGACACGCAATTTGGCAATCGGTTAAAAAGTTGCAGCGACAGCGAAGTTGGCAGTCAACTCCTCGGCATTGCACAGAATGCCTGCACTTACCGTGCCTCTGCAAGAAGTCGACGACCTCCTCACGCCGCTCTGCGCGAATTCGCTCACGACGGGCACCTTACTTGAGCCCTGAGGAGCAGGAGCAGGAGCAGTAGCAGATGTCGTCTTAGTGGGAGTGGTGGTACTGGCCGCGGTAGTAGTGGACCGAGTAGCAGTGGCAGTGGTGGAGTGGCGGTAGTAACAGCAGCAGCAGAAGTGGCAGGAGTAGCAACAGCAACTAGCAGTAGCCGTCGTGCGACAGTCACGTGCGAGGAGTCATGGGCTTTGAAGACCAGTGCGACTGATTTGCAGTATGACCACACCTAATCCTGTTTGCAGTCCGTTCGGCTTTGCATGAAAGGAAGAGATCAACAAGCCATACTGCAGCAGATCACCCTGTCACACATTGTGCAGTTGCTACACAAAAGGAGAGAACCCGAACTAGAGGTTTGAGCACGGAAGAACGAATGAGTGGCTGCAAAGACGTCGCACTGACCAACAGCGCTATCACAGCGTTCTCAGATGCGAATATAGCGTGAATCAGCAGTGGATACATCAGACGACAGGAAGCCGTATTTCTAACTGACACGCTTGTAGACACTTCCAGGCCACGCGATTAGCTACGTGTAACGCGCGAGCAACATGCCAAACTCACTCGTGCGCACTGTCCACATCAAGTGTGGCAGACGCGGATCATTGTCATGTCAAGGATCGCATAAAGTTTCAGAAGGGTGCTCAAGTGGCAGTGACCAGTCTTCTGAACACAGCTAGCTCGAATACTGTTTTCTTTGTGCAGTTTGTGCAAAGATGTAAGTTAATGACTTCCCGACCAAAAACTGGAGTTGTCTACATACCAATTTCCAAACGCTTGTGAAGGACAAACCTGGAGCCTGGGCCATGATGGCCTACCGGCGTCGCAGTATCAACCTAAAGGCGAAGACACATACACAAATAGATTAAAAAACATATACAGATATATAGATTCGACTGGGCACGAACCGCCTGCTTGCGGAATGAGCTGGTTGAGTTGACCTGCCACAAGTAGCTGGACATGCTTCGAGGTTCTGGGAGGGAGGGCTTGTTCTATCCGCCGTAGATGCGAAACCCCAGAGAGGTAGACTCCTTAGACTCACCAAGCCTAGATGCTAACTATACAAGCTCGTAGCACCGAAACCCAAGACACCAACTACGAGCTCCACAGCAAATGCCCTACAAACATTTTCATGATGTCATCGCCCACGACGAAACATTTAGATCCTGTCATAATCTACGACCATGCTAGGGCCTTTCGCATCATTGGCTCCTCAGGAAGACCACCTTCGAAATGACCCATCTCCTGGATGAGTCGATCTTTGTTGGACACAGGGGCCGTCACATTTAAAATGGGTTACTAATAATTCAGACCTCTTCGTATTGCACGGTAGGTACCTCGATGTTTCTTTTTGTGTTTGACGAAATGGGGTTTACGAGTTAGGTGTATAGGCCTGCAGGCTGTGATCTGTCGGATCTTGGAATCTCAACTCTTCACACTGCTGCAAGCAAAGCACCTTCCCCTACACCTTGAAAACCCATAGCTTTATCCCAGTGCTGCTTCAACGCTGATAAGATCTGATAAGGGTGGCACGCTATGCCTGGAGTCGTGAATGACAGCTTTGTATCATGCAACTGGCTTGGCCACCGACTACTTGGGGTCCCCCATGCCCAAAGAAACCCTCAAACGCGTTTTACATCAGGACGAATGGGAAATCGCATCGACCCTGGACCCTCAAACCCCTAAGATAGGGGCCTGAATAATTAGAACAAGGTTTTGGGGGCCCATTATACTATATTTATAATAAGGAACTCCCAAAACTGTAGAGGTATGATTATTTAGAACCCTAAACCCTGAAACCCCCAAGCAGCCCTCAACTGAAGGCCGTTCGTCCTCGTCCAGAACTGTGTCGAATTCGCGGTGACCGGCCTCCAAAGCCAACTCTGCCGGGTACAAGGGGTTTAGAAAGCTTAGGCTTCGAACTTAGGGGTGAGGGCACTTTTCAGCGACGCCGGGAAATCCGACAAACTGTCTCACAAAGCTTTGTTGCGGAAGGCAACCCTCCTGATCTCTGTTAAACAAAGTGAAGCTCTTGCTGAAAGCTAGGCCACTTGGTCGCAGTACCCTAAACCCCAAATAAGCGCGACCCCTCGTGGCCACACGGCGGCTCCTGAAATGCAGCCGCTCATTGATCGGACCCAGTGAGTGTGGTCCACACCCTTTCTGACGTGCAGGGTTTGGGATTCATAGATCACCATCGACCAGCTCTACCAAGAGGACTCATACAATTTGTAAAGCCACCTTTGTGTGGCCAATGATACTGTTTGGAAAGATGCTGGTCTGTCTGACGTCTTGCGACCGTCGCATCATATTAGTATTAGTATTGGTATTAGTAATACTTTTACTATTAGTATTAGTATTAGTAATATCATTATATAGTATTAATTTTAGTAGCGTCTGTTCCCCCACGTAGCCGCTCATTAACTTAGATTCCTCGTGCTGCTCGTGCGCGGTGGTCGGCCTGCCCTTGCATCCTTTCCGCATTGTTCAGCAAGGGAGAGAAATACAAAGAGAGGAACGGTTTAGGGTTTAGGGTTTTTGGGTTTAGGGTTTTGGGTTTAGGGTTAGGGAGAGAGAGAGAGAGAGAGAGAGAGAAAAAAAAAAACAACGAAGAGACGGAACACGAAAACATCCAGCAGAGCCAAAGAAGGTCGAAGATTCGCGGGGAAACAGAGCTTCGAATGCAACAGTAAGAAAGAGAAAGGGAGACTGAAACACACACATCGTGGGGCAGGACCTTAGACAGCGTAAACACACACACACACAAACACAAACACGCACACGCACACCCCATGCTTCGTTCCAATCCCAGGAATGAGCCCTTGAACATCTCTCCGGATCAACATCCCGTTCCAAGAGCTGAGCAGCCGAGAACACACCCTGCCCTCACATCCCATGATCAGAGAGATGCGGAAGACCAACTCCACTTCTTTCTCATTCTTTGCTTTCACCTGTTGCCCTCCGTTTGCTGCCCTTCTTCTGACTCTGAGTGCCTGCGAAAGTGGCATAAGTTTCCGAAATGCCCGAAACCCCAAACATTGTACGTGATATCAAAGCAGCATGCAGCCTTTACGACACCCTGCAAAACCCTTCTGAATGCCCTGCAGCCAGTGACCTCGGATTCTTCTGTCGTGACAGACAGACTAAAGCCAATCTCCATCTCATCGTCGCAGACTGTCGAACTTGGGGGTGGGCTCACCTCGGCCCCACCAGTGCATGGCAGAAGTTGCAAGCGGGCGCCATGCTGCAAATACGCATGAGAAGCAGGTGGGTCATGAAAGCAGTCGTCATAACTTGAATGGCTTAGGTTTAGGTGGTAACTGTGAGAGCAAATGGACTTGATCGCGACATATTTCATGAGGGCGATCACACACCGAGGGCTCTTGCTGGGCTGTGAACAGTCTTTTCCGGTACAGTAGGCATCCATGCATGGATGTGCCCACCGCGAAGCTCCAAAGTTCTTAAGAAGGATCGCATGTCGGCAGTGAAAGGTGGCTGAAGTCTCTGAGACGTGGTCTTCCGATTGCATGTCGAACTGGAGCCTTCTACTCCTCCATCTTCGAACAGTCACATCACGAAGCAAAGGTTGGGATGTCAAGTTGGGCAGGTACCACACTTGTAACTGCAGTATTTCGCCACCTCGTGGCTAAATGGGGACACCGAAGAGACAGTGAACCGTCTCGCAGTCGACACCGGCAGCTTCCCCACCAAGACACCCCACGCTGCGGCAGCGAACTTGCTTTCCCTGAGCCATTCGAAGAAATCTCATCATCCGGCGCGCCTGCAAACAAACAAAAGGCTGCATTAGGTGGCGACACAGCGGGGCGCCGAAACACATATTCGCACAAAGTGGGCGCTACAAGACTGCAACGAGACATCTTCAATCTGGCTCCAGAATCAGAACACGAACCTCTGAACGGCGTTAAACTCTGAACCCTAAGCCCGAGCCACAGCATTTTTTGATTGCAAATGCAATCAAATCAAGAACTAGAGTCTAAAACCTCAATTCAGGGGCCTTAATGATTAGAATAGGATCTCGGGGCATATAGAAAATTATGATTGTTGTTAAGGGAATACTACTGACAGGTATTCCGACCCCTCCCTATAGCGTGGCCTCAAGAACCCGAAGCCAATCAACAGCCCCCAAAACTTCTGGCAAGTAGCGAAATCTGAGCACCGCCCCAAACGCAAGCTCTGAAATCAAGGTGGCATTGCTTGCAAGGCGCCATCGTCGTCGAGGTCCAAATCCGGGTGCGCAGGCGGCTTAAGATTGGCGAGCATGCTCCAAGACTCGTCTTGTCGACCTTGTAGTGCGAGGACAGGCTTGGGGGCTTTGGGTTAAAGAATAAGCCGAGATGCAACGGGAGATCGGTTAATTCGGGTGGCGATGAGAAATTTATCATGTCTGTGTATGAAGGATTCGCAACTTGCTGCGAGGCAAGCTCTCGGCTTTGGTAATCAGCTGCAGGGCATGATCCGGAGCTTGGCTTGGCAAGACAGGGACCACAAGATGTGCTGTTCCACCCAGTGCTGCCCCAAAAGGTCAGATTGGTACCATCCCTGTTCCCGTCTACTACTAACTCCTTCCATGCATGGCACTTCTTTGCAAAATCTAAGAACAGCCACTGAAGGTTACTATCCTCAGCAGCCATCGCTTAGGATCGCATCTAGTCATCATGTGCTCGCCCTATGGTTTCATCCCTCAATCAAAAAATCAAGCTTACTCTGCCGGCTGTAGTTAATTGTTGATCATATTCACGATGGTTGACAAGAGCTGCAGCTGCAGCTGCTGCACTACACTCGCGACTGCCAGCAGCAGGGAGTGTAACAAGAAGCTTCGATCTTGCCACTGCCGGCGCAGTTTCTGCAGTTTGCTGGGGTGTGATCTTATGCACCCTTATGTGAAGCGCCGGAACCCTAAACTTCTTGTGTAAGCGCTGGACATCTACAGAGCTGCATCAACACCAATAGCCTAACAGCAGCTTGGAACTGTACGACCGCACGAGAGTGCGATGTCTTGGCATTCGCCGGAATGGGTCAAACTACTAGTTCGGAGCCTTCCACAACGGCCTAACTCCCTAACCCCTAAACCCCTCTGCCAAAACCGAACACCATCCTCGCAACCCAAACCCCTAAACCCTTCTTTGCAGTCAGGTCTCCATCTCCAGAAAGGAAGGCATCGGGTCGAGCTGGAGCGGTCAAGGAGCGCCCGAACATCTCGGGGCAGGACCGGCCCTGGTACTGTAGGGGCCTAAAAAAATACCTATACTATTTTGGGAGTTCCTTGTTATAGTTACAGTATAATGGACCCTAAAACGCTAGTCTAATTAACATTAAGGCCCCCATCTGCTGAAAACCTGAAAAAAGCGTTGAACGGCCATACATGAATAAGACCTGGCCCTAACCCCCCTACCCGGTCACCTCGATGAGGTTCCTACCAGAGCAGAACGGCGGCGAAACACAGAGTCCAGAATTGCTTGCTTGGCCTTCTCAGTCACTACACGCCAGTACGGCAAGATAGCACTAGCGCCTCCAGCCGTTTCCTTTTCGGGTGAAGGCCGTTGCGATCGTCTGCATGGGCAGTTCGAAGGCAAGCTGTTGCAAAAACATTCCACGGCATGGAAGGTGTAAGCAGGACTGCGAGAAGCGTTCAGTCTCAGACAAGTGGGCGTGATGATTTCGCAACATCCACATTTTAAAGGGGATCCTTATATCGAAGATGTTAACGGTGTATGCTTGGGTACACCAGTTTATGAACCTGGCGTAAGTCTCAAACAGCCCATGACAGCTCAAGGCTCAGTCTGAGGCTCCTGTACTGCGGTGGCCACCCTTTAAGTACTGCCAACGTTGTACCAAGCTGAAGTCCTAATCCCCGGCTCCCTTTCCTCACTTCATTCCAGGATCCCTACGCCTCAAATCAGCCCTTTGCGCCCTCGCGTGCGCTCTCTTGCCAAGGCGCAGCGCAGTACTCGCCTTGGGGGTCCGGTTTGCTTCGGTTCAGAAAGTGCGCGCATGCAGGGTGATGGGGCATGTTCCGTGTGCTATGACGATGGTCACATTAGATTTGTTGTTACAAGCTACAACTCATGCTCGTTGACATATTGGTACAGGTGCTTCATTGCTGAGTCCTTGTTTCAACAGATCCTACCAAGAATGGTCTATGCTTGGGTCCTTCATTTCTGAAGGTTTTCATGGGATGGATAGCTCATGGAGCAGGTCCCAACTTATACTTTGGTTCCTTTAAAGGTTCCTTTAAAGCGCCCTATAAAGGTTCTATAAGGGGTCTTAGGGTATCTACAGTCCCTGTCTGGCTCCTAGTAGGGAACGGAGGGGAATGGGCTATGGGGAGTACCTCTGGGGATTATACAGGGGCTACCATAGGGATCCATTGCCCCATTCCCTACTAAGCACCAGGGAGTATAGCCTTGTTTGCCATTTCCTAATCTGCGTCCGGCGAGCCGCCCCGGCTCAAAGCCGTTTGGAGGCATATTTTGGGTTACTTTAGGGTTTAGGGTTTAGCACATCGATACTATACTCTTAAGTCACACTGACTGGTTGCGTTTACTGACGTCCTGGAGCCCACAATCTCTCAATCGCTTCTCTTCGTCACCGGTCCTTGCTACAAGGACGCTTGGCCCTTGATAGCGGGCTTTGTCAGGGTTTAAGGATATTGGAGTTAAGGGCTTTGGCAGAATGCTTCGGGGTTTCAGCACTCACAACTGGGACAAGCCTGGCGAGATTGCAGGTATTTTCGCCACCCACCCAACTGAGAAATGTCGCACAGTCCGAAGTTGCCGAAACGGGTATAAGGCTTTGGATTTAAGCTCTTTCGGTTTCACGATCTCGTAATTCGCACTCTGTGCTTTCGGATGTGGGATGCAGGGCTCCGGCATACCAGGACCACTCCCAGCTCTGCTTTGAGTGGAGGAGCCTTGTGACTCAAGAGTTGGGTTGGCTTTAATATAGGGGCGTTAATAATTAGAACAGGGTTCCTTTAAAGGGGCTCTATAAGGGCTAGGGGATCTATAAGGGTAGTAGAGTATATAGGATCCTTAATGATGCGAATAAGGTTTTGGGGCCCATGATACTGTAATTATGATCGGGAAGCCCCCGAAATAGTATTATAGTTTGTACTTATTTTGGCCCTACATTATAGCGATTCCCATTCGGCCTTGCATTTCGGGGCTTAGAAGGGCGAAGGCCGCTCAAACCGTCCCGTCCCTGACGGCAGCAAGGCTTTGCCCCAAAGCACTATGCCCAGATTTAAGGTTTAGGGGTTTTTCCCCTCTCGCAGCATGTGCTGGAAATCTATGGTTTCGGGGTTTAGGGTTTCGCCTGACACCCCCAAGTCGCCCCTGCCTCTCCATGTAGCCCGCAATGGGGTAGGTCGAAGCCTCACGCAGAGGAAACGCAGAAAGAACGGTTCCGAGTTTGGGATCCCGAAAGACTCCCTGCACTTCGGGGCCCGTCGTCCGAAACCAGAACCACTGAGTCAGTGCAAATGCACGCGATCAAGTGATGGAGCAAGTGAGCGAGTAAGAATGAAAACGAAAGCAAAGAGATATGGAGGACGAGAGGTAGAGAGTAAGAGAGAGAGCGAGAAAGAAAATAAAAATCAAGGCGGAGTAGTAGACACCCTCCCGCAACAACATTTTCAAACACATACACCCGAATACAGAACCAAACGAGCCATTTTATTCAGAAAGTACACGGAACAATCAATAGAGACCAGAGCATACCCAAGCAACCACAGTAACAGCGGAAGCCGAAGCATTGGCAGCGAGGATCATCAGAGCTGACAACTAAACGACCTGCGAGCTTTAGGGTTTAGGGTTTCAGGCTCGAAGGCCCCGGCCTGTCGGCAAGGTTAGCTGACGAGCTGAAATCCTTGGCTCTGGAACAAGGAATGTCCCTGCCAACGCGTCAAGTTTTGGTTGAGCTTGCTTCCTTGAGCTGCTTTCCCTCTCACATGGCCGGGATCTATGCCAGGTTACATGGGATGAAATGGGACACTGACACTTGCAGTTCAGCGACAAGACAGACAAGACCAGACCTTGGGGCTTGGGGATTGAGGTTTCAGGGGTTGGGCTTCGAATTTCGAGGGGTTATGCATGGTTTAGGGAGTTGGGTTTCAGTGGGCTCATTTGAAACCCAAGGATACTGTGGTGTGGTTGGGGTAGAGGGAGCCCTGGCCGCTTGTAGAAGGGGCCCCTTGCTGCCAAAACTTTCCGTAGAACCTTGGAAACTCTCGTCAAGCCTTCTGCGAGCGAGGGGCTTTGAGAGAGGCCAAAGCCTCAGCAGACCATGGATGGCGAAGGCATGCAAGAGGTCATGTCTGGAATCGACGCCGAGGTAAGAATCTTTTCATGTAACGTAAAACAAGAGACTACAAAATAACCCGATGGCATGCTACACAGTTCCGGGACAGTACCGGCAAGTCCCATCCTCTTTTCAGGCAAGGCAACTACGCTGAAGGCCTTCTTAGAATTTGGGTGTGAGATCAAGACCTTGAGATTGAAGCCTCCTTCAAGTAAGGGCTCATGAGCTTACCCTGGCCTGCGGAACCAACCGCAATGCGCTTTCAGGCCGAAAAACCCAAACCTCCAAACCAGAACACCTCTCAGCCGAAGCTGCTGTGGCAGCAGCCGATCTCCGCAGCTTCGAAGCTCGTGTGGGGCATCTGCACGGCCATCGACGAAAGCCTCGTGAGTTCATTCTAGACTCCGTAGGGCTTAAGGGTTCCGGGATCTTTCGAGTTGAAGAGTTCACGGCTTCAGGCATAAGGGTGTGGGTCGACTCAGATGCTCGCACGAGCCAGGCAAGGATCACGACACGTCTGGCGAACTGCTGGTACATTCGCTCTCACTGCATCCTCGGCCCTGAACTGCACCGACTCCAAGATCTACCTATAGTCTCCATTGTGGTTCCTTTTTGGGATTACCTTATAGGATCCCAATTATATATTTGGTTAAACCAAAAAAAGGAACTACAATGGAGACTATAGGTAGCATCTCACCCCTCATGCCGCCTCGATCAGAATTGAATCTACATCTGCTGGAGACCCCGCAGATGCAAGTGGCTCAAGCCAACACTTCTCGATCCTTTTCGCAGAGGCAGGAAAAAATGTATCTGATGCCCGGTGAGTACCCCAAACGGCCTCCAAGACCGCGGTGACCAGCTGATTTCTGGCCTCCTGACGGTTTCATCTCGTGCTCTCAAGAGCCGCTTTGATCGAATTCGTTTTCCAAGTTCCAGCTCTCAGCCTGGTTTGATGAGTCCGGGTTAGTTGGTAGGATGCTTCGAGATTAGGTGATTAGGGCATTTAACAGCCACGGGCGTGTGCTGCAAATCGTTACAGCAGCACTTTGTGAACGAGTGCTGATAGCTACTACTATCGTCCGCGCGCAGACCCGAAGACCTAAAGCTAAAGTTAATTTAACTTTATCTTGAAGCACGCTAACAGTTGCAAACTGAAGGCGCGAAGACAGCAATTCGGATTTGACCCGACCTCCAAAAGGATTCTGACTAGGTACCTGTTCATACTTGTTGGCCCTGACTTCGGCCGTCCACTGAACCCTTCTGCAGCTGAATCGATGCCGCTGAAAGCTTGAAGATGCTCTACACCAAGGCGTTTATGTATAAGGGAAGAATAATTGGTTTTGCTCAGGATTGTGAGTGGTTCCGTCGGCTGCACACAGGATTTCGTCCAGTATGCTTGGCTCGCAACTGGCTTCTACGAGCCTTGCAACGAATTCTTACAACCCTTGGGGCGAAACCGAATAATCGCAGAGGACAGGCAGAGAGTGCTTTCAGAAACCCCACCTCGCATTCCCCAGATTGGGTTCTGTTCAAGCTTGTGCGTGGTTGACACATGTTTCTCACTTTCATTCAGAGGCCCCTGCCATGTGATGACTTTAAACCCCAAAACCCTTCAGCCCTGAATCGTCTGTTTCAATCCTCATCCTTGCAGGCGGCGAAATGTGCAAACAGCATGCCGACCTTTTCAGGGAACTTAGAAATTGCTTCCGAGCACCTTGGGTTGGGGATGTGCTACTTATACGCAGCTCATCTTTTGCTGTTGAAGCTCGCGCTTCATTGGTACATCCGGCATAAAACCACTAAGTTCAAAGTACATTGGGTGCAGATGTTTCTGGCTTACGGATACGAGGCGAAAGGCTTAGCTCAATGAGGCAGCATCCCCGCACCTCTAGTAGTAAATCTATTCCGGCTGAAACACTGCCTCCAGCTGCCACAGATCTGCTGCCGTCGTGTCAATTACATTGAGCACTGATGTTGATGATATAAATCCTGCATTACCCATAGTAAGGAATATACCAGAATTACCATAGTTTAGGGTCCTTAAGGTAATGCAGGATTTATATCATCAACCGTGACACCCCTGTCGGACTTCGTCAGATGCTTGTCTCAGGCTCAAGCAGGCACCACGCGCGTGACTTCCCCATGAAGGATCATCTGCCCCGATGCCTCGTCCAGCACGACATTTGTGCCAAGAGCGAAGTTCATTGTGGTAATATAGGAACCGGATTAAGAAACCTTGAGCCTTTATGTGGGTTCCTTATATGAATCCTACTATTTTGGATTGTAGGCCCAGGGTTTCTTAATCACGTTCCTACATTAGGGGCCTTCTGGGGTTCGGGCCGTGTCCTGGGTGCTGTCTTCAGTCGTGGAGGCAGGCATCAAACTGAGCAAAGTACCGATCGACGCCATTCCCCAAAGACAGGGCACAGAATTGTGCGACCCCAAAACGCGCTGGTTCATTGCGAAGCTCCGTAACATTGGCAGTTGAAGACTATTGCAGGCTCCACTCTGAAACCAGTGATGGTCGACCCGAGTCACAGACATGCCTGCTGTGCCCAAGAACTTGGAATCAATCCGCCAGTGTATACTGTGGACACTGTAGACACCCTTCATTGAACTCATTATGTTGTTTCTAGTCATTCTACCTGGACCCCAAAAGTATTGGGCCATTATTGTACCTACTTTGGCGGGTTTAGGTAGTCCACACACATCCTGCCCCCGCCGCCTCATCAAACTCGCATTTCTGGCCATCCAACCCAGCCTGAACAGTTCATACGGCAACCGTAGGCTCACGGCCTATAAGCGTGCATGGGAGCACCTCTATGAACTTATGCGAGTCTCTGTGCGTTTGAGCGTGCGCATGCTCTCAGGCATCCCATGCGGATGGATGATGTCTTTGTGTTATAAGCCCGTGAATAATGTATGCATGTTTACCTGCGACGTACAGGTGCGCGTGCGCGCCCGCACAAAAACAGAGGCCCAGGCTGGGACGAGCAAGAAGAAGAAAAGAAGCCATAACGGTGACTACCCTAGGACCCCAAAGTAGTTCCTTTTAGGGTTCATATTAAGAATCCTATAAGGTAATCCCAAAAAGGAACTACTCTGGGGCCTATGGGTAGGGCCCTAGTGGCCTCATCGAAGGCCTCTCGCAGACGTGTAGCAAAAGCGGCGACAGCCATTTTCACCTCCTGCCAGGATCACGAAAACCCTCGGTGGAGCTGGAGGATTAGGACGACGGGGTTTCGATTGCAATCAAGTTAGATGTTTTCTCGCGCTTGTGGACTTATGGTCAGTTAGGCAGGTGCGCACCACCGTTCACCAGGGCCTGTGGTTCACAGCATGCGCACCTCAGCTGAGAGCACCTCCTCAAATGCACCCAGTGTCGAAAAGACCAGTGCTCACAGGCACTGTCGAACAATATCCGAACAACTTACATACTTCTGTTGGTCTGCCGCACTCCGCAAACCCTCAGCTCTAATCGCAGGGGCGACCAGGAAGCCTCTTCTGATCGGGACTTCTCGAGGACGGGCAGCTAGTTTGGCCAGAAGGTTGTTTCCGCTGCGCTTCCCTTTCTCTTGCTGCTTTGGAGTTTGGGCTTTGCAGCCCTAGTCACTATTCCAAGGCTTTATAAGTTTCTAAACAGTGTAACGAAGCTCCTCATGCATGCTCTGGAAGGGGCTTATCCAAACTTGGGTCTGTAGGTCTTGCGGATTTCATGCTGGAAGGCTGTGGAACTCTTGACAGAACTTTGAGTTGCAACCTCCACGAATCATACTGGTAACAACCAGATAGTCTGAAGATCTGACCATCCTACAGCACGACTTGTAAAGCCTTATGTCATCTATGAGAGGCCTTACAAGCCAAGAGCCTAACGTTAGCTTCTTCGAGGCTTCCGCTGGCGTCAGCAAGGCAAAACTGCATGTCCTCGACCCTTCGCGCACGCTTGAGCCGGATGATATATGGTTTTTTCCAAAAAAAATAGGGGACCCATAGAATAGTACCCTAACTAGTAGGATCCTTATTAAAAGGACACCAAAATAAGGTACCCCTAATTTGGGAAACTCCCGTATGATTAATAGGTCTTAGACGGCGTAGGGCTTGCTGGACTTCAGGGCACCTTTGTAGAGTTTCTAGCGCTTGTAGGGTTCAGGGTCTGCAGTTTCAGGGCTTAGCCGGCCTGGTGCATGGTGTACCTTGAACATCCAAAACCTACTCTGCAGTACCGTTCTTACAGAGCCGGATCAGGGAATGGACCTACAAAAAAGCAGGTTATGATAGTTTGAGAGAGTCGCCTGTCCCCGCCGAGCTTTCGGAACCTGAACCCCTGCCTTGTAGTTCTTTTTTGGTTCCCTCATGTAGTTACTGTACTATATAATGCAGAACCAAGCCCTGTTAAGACTCTTAACGTCCCTAATTTCAAATCCCTGTAGACCTACGCAAACAGTAAGGTTCATCATGGTGCAGTCGCATCCAACGGAAACACCTGTCAAGGTCAGGTGTCAGTCTGGGGCAAACACGACCAAAAAAGCTTACCTTTTGCTTAGTAGGGAATGGAAGCATGGTAGTAATAGTAGTTATAATTGTACCCCATTCCTCCATGCCCTACTAACCAAAGGTAAGGATTTGAGCAATCAACCCCCCGTGCCAATCTCCATGTACATGGAGATTTCGACTCAGGCCACTTCTTGCTTTGCAGCATCGACTTCTCTGAAAAAGATGGGGCGGGCAGCGTGTCCGGAAGCTCGCTGTCATAAGTGATGTATTTATGCAATGCTGTCATGTCCTACACATGCATCCACATCGACGGCACGATCCACATTCCCATGCAAGCTTCTCAGTCCTTGACGCATACCTGGCTAAGATGTGAAGAATGAAGCTTGAGCTCTTCAACAAGGAACGGCGATCTTTGATACCTCTTGCGCATCTGCAGGTCGCCAGTTCAGTGGTAATCTCAACCGCTCAAAGGCACGGCGCATCACCCAAAAAGGTTCCTGTAAGGGTTTGCGATACTCCCATGTATCCTTATAGAACTAGCCCCTATGGTAACCACCTGTGGTACCACGTCCCGTGCACCCCGTAATAACAGCAGACCTTGCACTGTACTGCATTTTTATAGTACCCGTTATAATGGCCCTTATGTCCTACGTATCCCGTGCTTTGAACTCTGGTTCTACAGAGTTCAACCCATCCTTTATAGCACCCCCTAAACCCTAAGCTCTAAACCCTAACCTTTATGCCTCATGGGCTCTGGTTCTTTAGAGTTCCACGGATGATGGCGCTGACCTCGTTCGAGCTCGATCTTCGAGCCCCTGGATGAGAAGCTAACGACTGATATCGAGGCCTCATTATCTGCCTTTAAGGGCTTCAGGTTTTGGTTTAGGGTGTAGGGGTTTAGGGTTCAGGTTTAGGGGCTTGGGGTATATCGAGGCTTCAACCTATACCCCCCTTAGAACCATTAAACAAATGCTTAATATTCTCTTGGGTTTTATATGAACAAAAAATAAAACAATAATTCCTAAGGAGACTGTAGCAATAGCTTTAGGGATGTAGGGTTGCGAGCCCCTGATGGGCTTCACCGGGCTTCGGGGTAAGGGGTAGAGGGTCCTTGACCGTCGGACTTGGGTTTAGGCCCTACCTGCAGTCTCCATTGTAGGTCCTTTTTTGGTTAACCAGTTTTATGGTTAGGATCCTATACTAGAGATATTGGTTAACCAAAAAGAGGAACTACAATGGAGACTTTAGGTAGGGCAGTTTGTAGACATGTATGTGTATATGTATAGATAATCGGGCAAAGACGGGTGAGCAACAAACTGAAAACTATATGCACAACTTGTGAGATTATCTATCTAAGCTGTCTGTGCATGCAAATATCTACATCTCTCTCTCTCTCTCTCTATAAATAAATATATATATATATATATATATATATATATATATATATGTACGGTGTATACAGATATACATGTGTGTGTTTACATGCATGTACAACTCTAGTGCTTTAAGCTTTGTATACACTACGTATAGCGAAACACGTGCACAATGTGCATGCATGTAAGTGCTATGCATGTGCATCTGCATCTGCATGTGTATGTGCAAATGTGAATGTATATGCAGATGTAAATGTATACATATGTTTGTAAATGATGTATATGTATATATATATATATATGTATGTATACACATACCTGCATATGTTGTTTGCGCATATGTAGAGTTATATGTATATGTCTGTAAGTCTGTATGTGTGCATGTACGTGTATGTATGCACACAAAGTATTCAAGTACACATGTACGGCCACGGAATCTTGTAGGAACTGAAGTTCAGGCCCGATATCGGTTCATGCAAGGAGGCAGCTAGACCTGATTCGGGCTTTGCATGAAACACAAAGCCGACACTCCTGCCAGATGCTTCATACGAGGGGAGCATATTTTGAGTTGGGGGTCAACAGCATGACCGAGAAACTCTTCTGAACGAGCAGTGCTTGAGCTGCGTCTCTATGTTGTGCATTACCAACTATATGTCGGGGGCAGGGCTGTAGAACCTGTGGTGGTTGAGCTTTGTCCCAATCGGTGCGAGAGGACAGCTAGGCAAGCATCGTGCCCATCAAGCCCTAACACGCCCCCAACAAAAACCTGAGCCTGCCATTGTTCAACCTAGAAAACCTTCAGAGAGCTCGGGTACAAGTGGGGGAATGTGGAGTTGAAGCCTGGGGGCGGCATGTATGTCCTGCATCTTCCCAGTTGGGACCGAAGATGGGAGCCGTTCTGCCAGCTTTGCTGGAAGGAAGGCAAAGGGGAGGCTTTGAGACACATAAATACCTATCGAGGCATTTGAGCAGATAGGCGCAACAGTCTTTTCCCATGACTCAACTGGCCCGAGGTCAACAACATGACGATATGTCAGCATGCTTCAGGATGGTCGCCTCCCCTTGTGCTCAGAGACTGGAAGAAGCACGAACCCACGCCTTAAGCATCTTGGGCGATTTGAGGCACGGGAAGTCCGCCCTCATCGGGGCCGAGCTTCAGGTGATGGACGACGCCTTATCTTGCAAGGTACCACAGGTCTCAGCTTGCGGCTTGTGCCTATTTTGCTGGAAGCTGGGATTTTTGGATGATGGGGTGCAGGGCTTTGTGCCTGTTCACTATCGAGTGCGATACTTGCGCAAGACTTAGTCAACGAAAGAAGCCGGTTTGCCTTGTCTTGGAGAACTTGTCGCTAGGCCAGTACAATCCGTTCCTTCCTGATCTCAGACGCTGGATGGAATATCCGAGCCCTGCCAGTAATTAGCCAAGACCCGGTCACACCCCACCTGTCCGTGCAGCCTTCAAAGGTGCACACAGCGCCCTGCCTTTTTGTCCGGGCTCACGGCTTCGCTTTTGCCCTCTTGCAGGCCGGTGAGCCAAGTGCGCTGGATGGAACTGATGGATATCCTTCAGCTCCTCCGCAACCGAGCTGCTGTCCCCGCCCGCTGCAGGACAGCCCCAGGTCACCACCCTCCCGTCTCTGCGCAGAGCTGCGAAAGCGAAGGAGGTGCTGCGGATCAGGAGGACATCCTGAAGCTGCTCCTGGTATCCGAGAGCCAGGCAAGAAGAGAGGAAGAAGGAAAGGAATCAATGTGTATGATCAGATATATTTATATTCATATATTCATCTATATATATATATATATATATATTTGTATATCGTGTGCAAGCAGCTGCCCTCTCCTGCACAGAACTGCTGTCGCCGCCGCAAGAGGGGTCTCCCCAGGTGACGACGGAGCCCCCGACCAGAAGAGCGGCAAAGGCTGCGCAGGTGGACTCGATCCGCTCGACGGACTTAAGCTCCGCCTGGGTCGTTTTGTGCTTCGATGCCGCAGTAGGTACGGATCGATCTCGGTCTATGCCCTTGGCTCTTCATCCAGGTCTCTCTCTCTGTCTTGCTCGCTCTCGCTTTGACTCTCTTTCTCTCTCTCCATCACCTGGACGGCTTGGCTGTTCCCTCCAGCAGATGCATCGCCCCAGGTGACGACGGATCCATCACCGAGGATGACAGCAAAGGCATCCGCTGTGGCCTCCGTTGCGACATTCCAGGGAGTGAGGCCCTAAGACGCGAGTCTCAAAATCCCAGAAGCAGCAAGCGCGGAAGCAGATGATGATGATAATGATGATGACGGGCATGGTGAGAACGTTTGTGATG